GAAAAGAATTTAATTAAAGAAAAAAATAAATTTGATGAAGAAAAATTTGATTCTGATGATGATGATGATGAATATGAATTTGATGATGATAACGATGATAATGATGATGAAGATGATGATGATGATGAAGAAAATATTTTAAATGAAGAGGTTTTAAAAGCAATTGTCAAATTAGTCGAATTTTCAAAACAAAAGAAAAAAAGTGAAAAAAATAACATTATTCCAAGTTTGAAATTATTTATTAATTCTAGAGTAGAAAATAGAATAAAATTAATTAAAATAAGAATATATTTAAAATTTGATTTTTATTTTAAAAATATTTTAAATGATAAAATAATTTTGCATGAAGAAATAAATCCATTTCATAAGAAAATGTTATTAAGAAGTTTAAAACAAAAACATAGTGACGATATAAAACATTTATTATGTGAAGATGTTCAAACAGGGTACTTATTAGAAGATGCTTATAACATAATTAAAAATAATGGTAAATGATAGTGTTGAGAAATTTGGTCTTGTTGACACAAGTCAAATAAATAAATTATTAGCAGAATTGAAGAGAAGATGAGGAAGATGATTTAATTAATGGGATAACTAATACAAAAAGACATGAAGTAATAAAAGCATATAATATATTAAAAAAGAAAGAAAAATAAAAGAAAAGGAAATTTAATTAATTTTTGAATAAAGCGAGTGATTTAAGACGAGCTGAAAACGAGGACGTTGTAGATACAGATGATATAATGGATGATGGTGATACTTTAAATATAGATGGTGGGGTACTCCCTTAAAACACCAATAATAACGAGGGGGTCAAAAGCACAACATCACAATTTAATTTCAAGATTTTTTAATAATCAGGGCATAAACAAAAAAGACTTAAAAATAAATGGGAAGAAATTTAATTTTACCTACTTTGATTTAGTAAATGATTTAATATCTAATAGAAAAACATTAAATCTCAAAGAACATGAATTAAGATCTATTTTACCTGAGTTAAAAAGAAAAGGAATGCCGGTTTCATATATTAAAAATAATAAAATTAAGGAGATGTATATAAATTCTGATGCAAGCAATACTAGAAGACGAAGTTCATCACAAATACCTATTTTATCTAGTCCTTCATCACTACTATCTCCTGCTTCAACATCATCATCTACACATATACCACTATTATTAACTCCTGAACCGTCTTTAAATTTAGGGAGTTCTACACCCCACCGTTTTTCTAATTTTTCTCGACGAAAAACATTGAGAGAAAATAAAACATTCGATATATAAAAAAAATGGATATAAAATGTATGTTGGGAAAGTTTTTAACAACTGATAATTTAATAAATTTGGGAAATAAATATAAAATTTTTAAAAAAAAATTCAAAGGTGTTTTTCCAGCTGATTATTACCCTAAAATAGATTTTAAAGAAGGTGGATAGATATGGAATACAGATACTAGTGATAAACCAGGTCAACATTGGGTAGCAGCGTGGAAAAATGGGAAAAATTTATATTTTTTTGATAGTTTTGGATTAACTCCAGAACATTATAAAAATAAAAGATGGAAAAAATTTGCAACTGATAAAAATTAAATTTTGAAATATTTTCTTATAAAAGACGTCAAAATATTAATACAACTACTTGTGGGTTTGGTGTTTGTTTTTTGTTACAAAAATGTTTAAAATGAATATTTTAAATGTAATTAATCATAATTCGACTTTAGATAATGATAAAAATTGTTAAGTTTATCTAAAATGTTTTTTCCAAGAATTAAAAAAGTGTACGCAAGAAAATGTAAAAATGAGAAGAAAAATACTCAAATATGTTGTAGTTATAAAAATATATTTAAAAAATAAAATTATGTTGTTGTCATTTTATCAGGAATTACATCAATATCTTTGCTTACATATCCATGTCTAATACATAAGTCCCAAAACTTTTCAACAAACTCTTTCATAACATAAAGTTCATCAAGTGTATAATCATTGAAATCGGGATGCATCATGAATACTCTGATAAATAGCGAGAATACAACTTCATCCAATGTAAAACGTACTTTTTCATAATCGTTCTTGTAAAATACTATGACAACCATCACTTTTCTTTTTCTTCTTCAAAATCTTTATATGAAAGACGAAGCTCGGTAATTCTTAAATCAGGCTTGCTTAGAACTTTAGAAAAAATAAATATTTAAGAAAGCAATTCAAATCTTTTCATCACATTTAAACAAAATGTTTACCTCGTTCAGGAATCAATGAATTTTTAAGAAAGTACCCCCAAACTATCGTGACAAAGTTTTCATCAATATATATCTCTTCGTCCCTTTCATTGACAAATGGGACTTCTACATTTTCTTTTCCTATATTACTTACTATATCTTCAAACACATCAAATTCACACCAAAATTGAAAAATGGGTATAGTGTAATTATGCTCAAAAAAAGTTACAATCATTTTTTTAAATAAGATGATTTCGTTAGAAGTATTATACAAAATTTGAAAATTTACTCTCTATTTATACAAGTCATTTAGCGAAAAGAACTATCTTTATTTAATAAAAAATATATTTCAGAAATAAAATTAAATATTTACATCATATATTGTTGTCAGTTCATTGGGAAAAATATCTTTCCTAATTCTTACATTATGTTTACTTTTTATATGATTGTCGAAAACAATATAACCATGATCATTCTCATTCATATCGTCTATTAAACATTCCATGAAATTTTTTGATAAACCCTTATTAAACAATAATGTTTTTAAATTCCTATTATCTCCTACATTATTGAATACAATAATGTATTGACTATTTGTTCTAGCTGTTCTTAATTTTGTATTTCCGTAATTTAAATTTTGACATGTAAATATGATAGAAAAATCCTCATGATGACAGTCTCGTGTAGCAATTTCATCCAATTTTTGTATTATCTTTATTATCCGTTGCATTAATCATCAAATCGTCCAGTATTATTAATGTTTGATTTCCTAATTTTTGTTTTATGTCAGTTACAGAGGGTATGTGTAATTTGCATTTGATAAATTCGTAATTTTGCAGGGCTGTATTTTTTTGTTCATTAATAATAGATTTTATTTCGTCAAACATTTCTTGATAACTAGACGAGTAATAATATAAAAGTTTTGTAAAGGGGTTCAAAGATTTCATCATTAAATTTTATCAATTCTTTTATAAAATGTGTTTTTCCACATTGTGATGGTCCACAAATAGTCATCATAAAAGGATGTTGAAATTTTACAACTGGTTTATATATCATATTTTCAATCTAAAAATAACCATAAGGAATTGTAAAAAATTATCTAATACTATACGTTTATCAAAAGTGAATGCAAACTTTTCACTTCTTCGTTTAAAAATACATTTTGTTGGTTATCACGTGATATTTTTCTTTATAAATTACTTCAATTATTTTTCATTATCTTTTACACACTCATTTATCGAATCAAATGTTATTTTCTTTTCCCATCACCCTTTAAAGAAAATCCTTTTGCATGCACTATTTCATTATTTTTATCTGTTTTAAAAGAATAACTTTTTGGTCCCGTAGAACAAAATGATTTAATATATTCACCATTTTTTAATTCGTTAGTAAGGTCACCTAGGTAATTACCCGTTTTAATATCATTTCCATCAACACTAATGTAAATTATTGAATCGGTATCATAATATAAAACTTTGTCTTGCAGCTTATGTAATACATTTAAAAGCTCTAATCTTGCATAACTTGTTACAAAAGAATAACAACATTACGATTGGGTAAAATTGACGAACATGTTTCATTTTTTTTATGTGTTGTTCTTAAAATATCCGAAGACACGATATTTAAAGAAGTTAATTCGTTAGTATGATTGTTTGCTAAATACAGTAGATCATATAAGTTATTGATAAATGATACTGTAACTGCATTATCATTTTGTGCAAACTTTCCCCATAATGAATTTAAAATCATTTTCATAATGGTACGAATACATATATTTTTCTTAATATTACTTCTATCTAATTGAATTCCTTCGTGTTCATAATAATCTAATATAAATTCATTTAATTTTTCTTCATTAACAGTTTTTCATCCTCATTAACAGTTTCATCCTCAGTTTCATTATAACATTCTTTAGGAATACCACTATTTTCTTGTTTTATTTTCATAAAATTGTCTACAAACCCTCCGAAAATTTTACCCCTGTTTTATAATGATAAATTTCATATATTTTAATTATTCTATATCCACATTCAATAGCTTTATTTATTTCAACACTAGTCCATGTACCTTTAATGCTCTTTTCTCATCATTATGATTACATTTTCGATTTTTTTCCATAGCACAAGTGTAACATAGTGTAAATATCAATTTATTATTAATGCGAAAGGGTAAAACAGGAAATAAAAGTGTAGTAGGGGTAATATACAACATTTAATTAACAAACACACTTCCGACATCAATATTTAAACATTCTTCCTCTAAATATATTTCGGGATGATTTAAAGGATATTCATACTTTTTTTGAACAAATGGATATAATGACGTAAAGTCAACATATTTAACCTTTTCATTTTCCTTCACTTCATAATATAAACATGAAGGTGATGTTCTACCACCATATAATGCATCACGTGGATGCAACGGTAATACATTAAAAAATTCCTCTTTCCTACTTTTTATTTCACTTATATTTTTATCTTTTAAATATTCACATTCCCACATTTCGACTACATTATAATTATTTTCAATTAATTGTTTTGAAAACTGTTTTGTTTGCATTCGTAAAAAATACATTTTTTCCTTTTTCAAAGTATTATAATCATCGTTATTAAAACATTTATTACACCGATAAACCGGTTTTTTTTTTTTACACCGATATTTTCAATAGCTTTGACGGACGATTTCGACTCAAATGTGACGAAACCGTAACTGAAACAAAAAATAGATGCAAAAATAAAATATTCGCCAAGTGAAAAAACAAGTAACAATCTTATTCTTACATTGCATTTCGTCGACCTCTTTACCAGCAACTGCGAGCTGTGGTTGCAATTCTTCCAATTCCCGTTGCATAACCGATACCTACAGATACAAAGAAAGCGCCATGGCAGGTATCATTCAACAATAGGAAGTGAACGATAAATTAGAGAACAAGAAACCTCCGAAGCGGCATTCTTCAACCTTTGTAAACCATTTTCGTATCGATTCTTTGCCTGGATTACTTCACTGCAACAATGCAAAAATGTGAATGCTTTGAATTTTGAACAAACAAAACGTACAAAGAAAAAGATGTGGATTGCTGACACAGGCATACAGTAGGTGATTCTTTGGATGAACGCAAAGTCGAAAGTAAGTAAGAATTCTTTAGTTAATTTCATAACAAAATTGCGCCATGCACAGCTCCTTACTGTCATCAGATGGATTTGAATAAATACCATCAAAAGCGATGGCAATCATTAGAATCTTCCCGAGGTAAACACATAAATTGCCACAAAAGTGAAGTAGGTTTGCAGACAAACTCGGCCCAGGCTCCTTGCGTGTATCAAATACAACGGACACAAAACGTTATGCACTCTTTTACAATCTGATTACAGTGATGCATTGTGACATATTCTTATGTATACTGATGTATACTGATGTACACTGATGTACAATGATGTATTCTAATGTACACTGATGTACGGCAAGACTAAATAAAGCTGGTAAATCAATCGTGCTTCCATTTTTACTCACCCCTGTTTCTTTTGAAGGAGAACCTTAAACGTGTTGATGAGTTCAAGATATGACGTTGGTGTCACGTACCGTAAATGCTCGAATAAGCGCCCGGGGCGCTTATTTAATTTTTGGAGGCGAGAGGGGGGCGCTAATTCGAAGGGGGGCGCTTATTGGAAGGGGGCGCTTATTTCATTTTCGGATTTTTGACGTGAAAATGACACTGGTATTTTTATTTCTTGTGACCTTAACTGTAACATAAGTATGAAAATTTTGAAAACGTTAACATTCTAGAAAGCAACATTAACATTTTGTGAAACTTGAAATGTTCTCCAAGCGATTTCCTGGTGCCCGTTAAAGGGCATGTGTATTGTACAATGCGTTTAACATCGTGAAATGTTTTGTATATATAAAGAAAGCCTGCCGTTAATGTTCAGCGGTTGTCTTCAATTTAACACACAATGAAAATAGTACTGACATTGTTTATGCTATATCGCGTCTTTCGCTAACCATTTGATCCTTAATCAATCTCAATTTCTGTATCGCTGTCATCAAGCAATGTTGACACAGGAGCAGCATCTTCAACATCTGATAGCGTGATATCCTGAAAAGGATCATTCTCCAGTGTTTGCTGAAGTTGCTGCTGAACTGCCTTCAGTTGTGCCAGGCCAGAATGACAAGGTTGACTCGGCTTTAAGCAGTGTATCAGCTCATCTTGAGAACCGTCGACAGCAAGTGTCAGCGCACAGCACTTGAAGGAGTTAACAATAATGTCCTTATCCAGATCATTCCATGCTTCAATGATCCACTGGACAATCTCTCGCCTAGGAGGAGCTCGCATGTTCCCTGCTGCAGTAAACGTGTGTTGACCATTTGCCATCCACTCGTCATATCTCTCAGTCACTTTGGCTTTGAATGGTTTGTTCCACGATACATCAGGCGCTTGGATATATTTCGTACACCCCAGGTATAATTACAGGATCTATCTTTGCGCGATTGAGCTCTTGTTTAACGCTGTCTAAGACGTGGCATCTAAAGAATCCCAAGCCAGCATCCGTCTGGTGAACGAAAACTGGCCCAAGACACTTTTAACCCAAGAAACGGTTAGTTCTTCATTCATCCATCCATTAATCGAGGACGCTACGACACACTTTGTTCTGAATTCCTCATTCAGTGCTTTCGACTCTCTCTTGGCACCTGGAAAACGATGAACGGCTTTAGTTTGGTACCGTCTCCTTTGCAGTCAAACACACTGAAACCTTCGTTTTTCATGGCCAGTTGTTTTCAATCGAATTGTGCTTTCGCCAATGTTGTCGACCGTGGTATTGGATACCATATCTTGCCATACTGCTGTCTCATCCATTGCAATGATATCCCTGTCTTGGTAAGCGATTTTTACGTTGCCGGCGAATCTGCAAAACATACGCTATGAGTTTGTCTATCACTTTCTCGGGGTCCTTTTGTGATTCAGTGGTTTTGCGTCTGATTGCCAAACCATGTCTTGACATGAACCGCTGTAACCAACCGGAACTGGCAAGAAACGATGGTGGCATTTCCTTCTCTTTGCATTTCTCGTTATCGAAAATTTTGCTTTGCTTGCGATCATTTTTCTGGAAACACGAAGGCCATTGGAACGGCGCTCATGTACCCACTGTAATAATGCTTCTTCTAGGTCTTCATCGAATGGCTTTCGTCCGCCTCCTTCAAGCCGCTTTCTCTTGCTGCTAGTATCTTCCAATTTGCTTTTCTTTTGTCGCCATTCTCTTACTCTCTTGCGGTCGACACCAAACTTTGCTGCGGCTTTTCGGTTACTGTTACACTCTTCGGCAAATTGAACAGCCTTAAGTTTAAATTCGTTAGAATAAGAAGAGTTCTTCAATCCTGCGTGCGATGTAGATGCTAGAGTTATACTTTCGTCCATGATGTCAAAGGTAAGCATGCTGTAATGCGAGAAGGCCGGAAAAGACCTCCCATGAGAAGATCACATTGTATCACGTGCTACCAAACACGTGTGTGACATTCATCTGCTGTTTACAACATGGCGCGTTCAAGCTATACCTTTACTTGGCAAATGGTTTACGAAATAGAATTTGCGTCTGTGATAAGAGGACACCATGTTTATAAAGCTGAATGGTCACCACAGCTTGGAGAACGGCTAGTGTGTCGGAAAGACGATCGAAAGGAGGCTAAAGAGCACGATGAATATGCGATTGGAACATTTATTCAAGACAGTGGCAAGCTGGTTGGACATGCGCCCATTGAACTTTCCTTCCTCGTGTTTACATTTTTACGAGCTCATGAGGATAATGCGGTGGAGGTAAAAGTAACTGGAAAAAGAAAACTTGAAAACGGCCTAGTTGTTCCAGGAACTTTTAAAGCAGTAACACGAAGCCGGCGACTGGGAGCAAAGTTTAACGAGGAACTTGATAAAGTAAAGCTCCTATGTGCCCACATGGATATTGAAATCAAGCAAATGAGAAGCAAACCTCTGAAGAACATTGATTTTGAGTTCTAACGAATGTCCGTTACCGATGTAAAAATTAAAATACTGTGTATCGAACTGAGTACCGAAGTTCATCTTTTATCGGGGAAGGGTGGGGGTGGGGGTGGGGCGCTTATTTGAGAGGACGCTTAGCAAAACCCGTCTTTTCTCGAGGGGGTGCTTATTGGAAGGGGGGCGCTTATTTCAAAATTTGAGTCCTAGGGGGGGCGCTAATTCGAAGCGGGTCGCTTATTGGAAGCTGGGCGCTTATTCGAGCATTTACGGTAATTATGACGTTTCAGTTCGCTAAGAAACCTCGTTGATAGAACACGTGTTCCCGTGTGAAATTCCTGGCACATCTTGACACAGCCCACTCGTATCGCAGAGGACATTTCGGTCTCGGCGAGAAACCGCTGGGCAACGACTTGTAAAGCATCCGCCGGCCATAACTGAATGAAAAAACATAGAATGCAGCAAAACGTCTTTTTAATACTCACTTTTTTACACGTCCTTTTAACACTCACTTGAAACCAGTCGATGGTACAGCAATTAACAAGAGAAGGAAACTTTCGTAATCTTGTGCGGAAAGCATCGCCAATCGGACTCATTGCTAGAACAATGTGCAGCTGATTTCGTACTCGTTCGATGAAGAAATTGAACAGGGCAACAGGGGAACGATCTGTCTGTTTAGATTTTTCTCGTTGTCTTAAAAAAACGTCGAGTGAGGAAAGTTATAGTGAGCTCAAATACAAAAAAAACATGATCATAAACACAACATTAAAATAATATTACCTATCAAATACAAGCATTTTTTCGCAAATCTCATGTTTCTCGTCCAGTTCAAAAAGGTTTGGTACCTCACCTGCATTCCTCTTTAATCTAAAAAGTAAACAGCTCCGTAATACAAGCATAATACAAACTAAACCCTTAAAAAAACTACCCTGATAGAAAACAGTTCTATGAGAAAAGGTTACACAGAGAGCATAATACAAACTAAACCTTTAGGAAAGTTTCACTGATACAAAACTGTGCGAGGAGAAAAGGTTACACATAGAGCATAAGCCTTTAAGAAAGTTTCACTGATAGGAAATTGTGCGAGGAGAGAAGATTAGATGGAGAGCATAATAATAGTTTCACTGATAGAAAACTGTGCAACGAGTGAGGGTTGCACGGGGAGCAACTTCACAACAATACAAACTAATCCTCTCCTAAATTCACTGATAAAAAAACTGCAATAAACTGCATTGCTACTTATCAAACGCAAGCGGCAGAATAAAATTCCCAGCACAAAAAAGGTAACAAAAAAAAGGGTTTGACATCAAAATACAAAACAACTAACCTGAGTATCGGTAAAGAGGAAGACGCCGGGTTGTTCACCTTCCGCAGTCTTTCTTAATATAACTTTCAAATCTTCCCGCCATTCAAACGACGTGTAACCTTTTCTAATCTCGACCTGATGATCAAAAGATAAATATGTTATTATTATTGCGATATATAAGAGGACATGCAATGTTGCAATAGCGTCATTTTGAAGGCCTTCTGAGAAATAGCATGCGCATACTTTTACAAGATGCGAACATACCAGTTGAAAATACATCGGTTTATAAGTTAAGTCAACTTTTGATTGGGCGTTTGATTGCAATGCACTATCCAGTTTATTATACATATCTATGGTTGAGACACCGGAAGTAAAATTACCCAGTGTCCGCCATGTTTGCTCCGAAAGCCAGCATAATGATGAAGCGTTAAATAGGGGAAAGGCAAATTTTTCGCTGTGCTTTTTTTATTCATGAATAGACAGCTATTGCTGCCTTTAGAATTTTTATTCATGAATAGACAGCTATTGCTACCTTTAGATTTCATTTTGCGTATTGGGAAATTGCGAATACGCATATTGCGTATTCGTCTTTCATTTTGCATATATTGCACGTACATCTGTCAATCATGCACTTTCAGCTTTTACATCTGAATTTGTATTGTACTGCATTGGCGAAGGAAAGGAGTAATTTTTGAGCAGCACAACCCTGCAACATAGGTGGTTGAGGGCAACAATTATACATTCTAAATATTGATAAAAAAAGTCCGTTTACAACTGTAATATATATTTATGTAAAACTGTATGTATCAACGTGTTACATCAACATAATATAGCAAGTATTTTACATAAAACAACATAAAGTACTTGTAATGGTATGTCAGCGGCAAATCGTTTGGTGTGTGGAGTGGCTCACCTTTATATTATTGGAGAGGGCACTGAATTGAAATTCTTACCGTAACAATCATCCGCATCTTGTATGTGGAGCCTTTCATTATGTCTCTTTCATTCCGTTTCTTGTAATACTCTGTTGTGTATTTTTTCTTTAAGGTTTGCTATTGAGCACGTGTCGCGCATATCACGGGTGTTGAAGCAACCACGTGGTCATGCTCTCTTGGTTGGCGTCGGGGGCTCTGGTCGTCAGAGTTTAACAAGGCTTGCCGCTCACATGGCTGACTACGAGCTGTTCCAGGTACAACTATAGCTCAGCTGCTCTGAATAATCAGCGAACTGATAGTCGCTTCATGACTTATGGAATATGCTAAGCTTATCGACGGCAGCCGTATCTTATTTCTTCCTGTTCTTTTACGTAGAATAAACTGCCAGGCTGGATCCATTAACTACGACTATATTTCTATACTGTATTAACGTTCATATTCTCACAGATTTCGTATCAGGGGTATACTGGCTGGTGACGAGACAACTAAAACTCGTTGTGGGCCCCCTGCCATTACAAGACCCTTGAAAAATTTATAAAATTTATAAATTATTTAAAAAATGCTCTACAGTTGATGAAAACAACTTCCGAAGAAGAGTTGTATCAAGTTTGTTTAGGTTCTAAACCTGCCCTTAGGCCTCTAAAATGTTCCAGCATGCCCCCCTGTTTCCTGTACCTATATAGTATTGAAAACTACAATGTAGGGAGAAGGACGTGGGGAGTGTTTACGCTTATCCAACCCAATGTGGTAAGGCATAAGTTATACCATAAGCTGTTGTATTGTAAGTTTGGAACTCTTGGTGTCACCCTGTACAATCTGAATTAGATAATGAAAGTTTATGATCCGAAGTAATTGGGTGCCCCTGTTCTTATCACCCGATTACTAGGTCCCACTTGAGAAACGAAAACAAACTTTAACGTACGACAGGGGTCGGTTGCACGAAGCCTGGATGGCGTTATCCATTGGATAGCAAAAATCTCCAAACTTGTCAAAAAGGTGCTAATATTTTTCTTACGACAAAGAAATTTCGTAATCTTCGAAGCAATATTTTCTTTCAGTGATTGCACTGTTTGAATCTTATGCTTTTTGCTTTTTAAAAGGTTTTATAAAAGCTTAAAAAAACTTGCTATCCATTGGATAACGCTATCCAGGCTTCGTGCAACCGGCCCCAGAGTTTTAACGACGACGTATTTCTGTTATTTTTGGAACTCAAAGCCATGTATAAACATAGGAGATTTCGTGGAAATATGATTTTGATTAATATGATTATTTTTTCGTATCAAGTGGGACCTTCCAATATGGCGGTTATGGTTCACAGAAATAGCGGAGTGCGTTATACAGTATATTTCAGTTCAGTGGTCTCAACTCATTCGTATGTACTTGAGAGGCTACACTTGAATTGCTTATGCAAAGTAATCCTACTTATTTTGTTTTGACACGGCAAATTAATGAGCTAACGACAAACCTTAACTATTGGTGTTATGAACTCCTCAAGAAACGGCAATCTTAAAAGTTCAGGCCAGATGTGATGTATAAAGTTGATGAGTAAACCCTTGATATGAGACCCATCCTGGTCTTGATCAGTCATGATCATCAGACGACCGTAGCGCAATCTCTTCATATCCTCTTCGGTCTCATACTTTTTGCCGTATTTTAGACTCACGATCTTGAGGATGTGATTAATTTCCATGTTCTCCGACAACTATATTAAAAGAAAATAGTTAGATTCATAAGACAAAATCAGTATAAAGTGGCATGTATCGCAATGCCTTCAAACTATTGAGACATATCACAAAACGTTGCAAGACAGTATGAAAGCAGGAATATAAAAGATACGTGATATGTTTGAAAAAAGTTTTTTACAATAGCTCGCTTGGTTTATATGCACGGTAAGAGCAACAAAGAGGGAGGGATTTGGGGGGGAAGTGCACATCTTTTCTAGTCTCGTCTTTTTACTTGGTTTTGTATACATGGTAAGAACAACATAAAGGGACGGATTTAAGGGAGAAGTGCACATCTCTCCTAGCCTCGTCTTTTTACGTTGTTTTGTATACATGGTAAGAACAACATAAAGGGACGGATTTAAGGGAGAAGTGCACATCTCTCCTAGCCTCGTCTTTTTACGTTGTTTTGTATACATGGTAAGAACAACATAAAGGGACGGATTTAAGGGAGAAGTGTACATCTCTCCTAGTCTCGTCTTTTTACGTTGTTTTGTATACATGGTAAGGACAACATAAAGGGACGGATTTAAGGGAGAAGTGCACATCTCTCCTAGCCTCGTCTTTTTATGCATGATAAGGACAATAAACAGAAAAGGACTTAGGTAGAACTGCAAACCTCTCCTAGCCTCATCTATAGAGAATGCAAGATGGGTGCGAATTTTAAAACGAAATATTAACACACTAAAAATTATGCAAACGTTATTGAGATAATCGAACACACTTCCCTAAATTGTACGCACCTGTTTACCGGAAGCTTCTCTCACATTGAGCAATTTTCCTCGTAGAGGAAACACACCATAACGATCTCGACCAACTACACTAAGACCACTGACGGCTAGCGTTTTGGCCGAATCTCCCTCGGTCAAAATAAGGGTACACTTTATGGAGTTCTTTCCCCCAGCATCGTTAGCGTCGTCGAGTTTTGGAATTCCTTTTAACTTCGTTGTCTTGGCGCCACTGTTTCTAGTCATTTTATTCTGGAAATAACAAAAAATGTCTGACATGGTATAGGGAAACAGATAGCCAACAAAAAATAATGCAAACTAGAGCCTCTACCCTAACCATCATGGATTCATACCTAACTAAGGTCCCTCCCCCACACATAGTGGATCCATACCCAATTAGGCTCCCTCACCCGACCATTGTGGATCCTTACCCAACTAGGCTCCCTCCCCCACACATTGTGGATCCATACCCAATTAGGCTCCCTCACCCAACCATTGTGGATCAATACCCAACTAGAGCCCCTCCCCCAACCATCGTGGATCCATACCCAACTAGGCTCCCTCCCCCACACATTGTGGATCCATACCCAAGTAGGCTCCCTCACCCAACCATTGTGGATCAATACCCAACTAGAGCCCCTCCCCCAACCATCGTGGATCCATACCAAACTAGGCTCCCTCACCCAACCATTGTGGATCAATACACAAAAAGAACCCCTCCTCCAACCATAGTGGATCCATACCCAACTAGGCTCCCTCACCCAACCATCGTGGATCCATACCCACTAGGCTCTCACCCAACCATCGTGGATCCATACCCAACTAGGCTCCCTCACCCAACCATTGTGGATCCTTACCCAACTAGGCTCTACTCAACCATTGTGGACCCCAATCCCTCCTCCCATCCACCACCAAAGTGGATCACACAAGAACTCCTCCTCCAACCATAGTGGATCCATACCCAACTAGGCTCCCTCACCCAACCATCGTGGATCCATACCCACAGGCTCCCTCACCCAACCATCGTGGATCCATACCCAACAGGCTCCCTCACCCAACCATCGTGGATCCATACCCGATTAGGCACCCTCACCCAACCATCGTGGATCCATACCCACCAGGCTCCTCACCCAACCATTGTGGATCCATACCAACTGGCTCCTCACCCAACCATTGTGGATCAATACACAACAAAGGCTCCCTTAACCATCGTGGATCCTTACCCATTCCCCTCCAACCATTGTGGATCCATACAAGGGCTCCCTCACCTACATTGTGGATCAATACCAACTAGGCTTCCCTCCACATGGATCCATACCAAGGCTCCCTCACCCAACCATTGTGGATCCATACCCCTAAGCTCCTTTACAACCATTGTGGATCAAAACCCAACTAGGCTCCCTCACCCAACCATTGTGGATCAATACACAACAAGAACCCCTCCCCCAACCTTTGTGGATCCATACCCAACTAGAATCAAATAATACAAAAGATCCTAAGCTAGTTATATCGTTCTTTAGAAAATGTTTTATCACATGGTTCGATTTAAATGAGTATTTTTCACACCTCACTCTGTCTTTGAATATCATGTACGACGTATTCGACGATACCGCTCTGCATCACCTTCGTAAATAAATAGTAAAAGAAGTATTATCACGAAGTTAAGATCTTTGTCTTTTCTCACAAGAATCACGTTATTCTGCACAATTAGTATTCCTTAAAACATCATTTATGTTCTCTTGTTTATTCAAATGGTTTGAAAGGTTAAAGAATCATTGTCAAACACAATACATTCCTTAAAACATCATTTGGGTTCTCTTACTTATTCAAATGGTTTGAAAGGTTAAAACATCATTGTCAAACACAATACAAAGCACATCTCTTGTTTGTTTATATTCGTGGAAAATATGATAATTCCATCACACGATGATCTTTCCCTCTTTCGTACAACTTGGGCAACAGTTAGAAGTGTGCGATTTCAAAATACTAAGTATTCATTTCAATACCAAGTTTTGGTCCTCCTCTTTAGGCGCGTTTTCAACCGTTGAGCTTTCCATAGTTTTGAATAATTATTTGTCCACCCAAAGAGATACGTTTATGAAAAAAGTAACTAGCAAGCTTTTGAGAATCTTTTTATCCAAAAACGACATAAATTTTTCTACATCCACAAAGAATGATTAAATATCGACAGATTACAAAGTGATACAAACAAGCAGTATGTATGCATTGATGTTTGCTATTGACATTGGGCATTTTGTTTTAGTTTTTAACGTTTGAACTTCAACTTTGAAAGTTCGACATATTTATGAGCGATTGTTTTTCGTTTGATCAACTTCATATAATTATGACCGGAACGGAACGCCATACGGTTGGTATTACTGAATATATGTGTATCAGATTTTCATCAATGTACACACGTCATTGTAGATGACATGAAGTATTAACATGTATTAGTTGTGATAATTTGTGTATGTAAAGAATACATTCATATTTCAGTTTGATGTTCGTGAATGTTTCTCCTCGCGAGGACTATTTCCAGGAAACCCTATGTTCACTTCGATTTGCCACTAAGGTATGATTCGTATATGTCATAGCATGATTTCGAGTGCAATTCGGGAAAAACATGCACGAGTGAGTTTTTCAAAGACTATCAAAATTGCACGAGTCTGAAGGACGAGTGCCTGTTTTTCCCAAATTGGACGTGAAACCATGCTATTACTTATTAATAATATACATGAAAAAATTTCTCAATCCTGCCGGCAAGTTGTAAATATCGACCGACTCGTATTTTTGAATTCCGTCAAATATTACTTTTCACAACACCATAGCTTCCGCACACGCAGCTAGAACAAGATATCTACTTTTAGCAGTGTTCATGTTTTCATACAGAAATACTTTGAAAACGGTGAACTGTAAACTCGTTCGCCAAAGAAAATCAACTTGAAACTTCGCCAGCCATTGTAGTTGCTTTGTTTACAATAACTTAAACTTTCCCGCCTTCGAAATATTGTATTATGATTGGCTCTTACGTAGATCACTTCTTTGTTTGACTAACCAATTAGGAGCACAGTTTTCAAAAATAAATTGCACTGCTCATAACCAATTGAGAAATTTTTTCATGTATATTATTCTAAATACAACTTTACACCATATGACCAACCTTACATCATATGACCAACCTTACACCATGTGACCAACCTTACAAATTAAATTTGAGAAAAAAAATTGTATGTTTTTGCTGTCGCTGTCTTCATGTCTTTATACAAATATTGGCTGTGAACACTCAACCTGTGCTCGAGTTTTGTGAAATCCTACCCCTTAACATTTTTTGCAGTCCTTTAAATAATATTTTTCTTGAACAGGAACTAAAGTTACATGCCTTTGCCAAGAAGGTATGCTGTATTATGTTCATCTGCTTCTGTCTTCTTCAAACATATCGTCTTTTGATAGCCATATTTTATTGATCTTTAGGGGTTTGCAAAAGAGCATGCAAAATGGAATCCTACAGCTGGTGTTGCATTTGAGTATGATCCTGACATTGCTCTCAGACACACAACTTATCCCAAAGTCGAGGAATGGTACATAATATTATTGTATTTTTGTAGGTTTTGTACAATATTGTTTTCATTTGCACTTTCTTCATTTCCATGTAATCAAATAAATGTTTGTGCGGTATGGGATCTTGTAATGTTGCTTTAACTATCACTGATTATAAAGTAAATGGTTTGAACCTGGGAGTATCGTTACATGTTTGTAAATCGATCGTCCAGGTTGGTATAGTCCTGAGAATGACTGCTTTTTGTCATTTGACTCTCAAGATGACTACCGCTAAGGTTGTCGAAACGTCAGTCAACAACAACAAAAACAGTCCTTCTCAGGACTATACCAACCTGGACGATATACATTTACAAACATATCACTGATTATGTCAATCTTAGTTCTGAAATGATGGAAACCATTAAATTTGCAGGCCGAAAAGTGAATATTCGCTGTTGGAAGAGGATGAATGTATGTAAAAGGAACAATTACAATATTTTAAAACCATGCCAGCATTGAAAATTTACGAATGCATGTTTCAGAAGTTAATAAAATGTTTTATCTTCCAGACCAAGCGCCGTTTGATCCAACAGGAAGGCCGGACAAATTCTTCTTTAATGTTGAGGTAAATTTTCAATAATCAATTGATTCTTTATGCCAGTCATCCAGTTTATAGTGAAGCATGAGTTTTGAGGCTTGTAAATGAATCAGTTTGTTTGTCAGGTATTTTTATGTATAAAGCAAGTACATAGTGAAATTTTGGTCAAGTGGCTTTGTCATGTTACTCCATAGATAGCTATCATTGCCGGACATCAAAGTCACTTTGTCCAAGATGTTTGTATTTGTATTCAGAGTTGTGGTTCCTTACGTCCTGAAAACATTGTTTTGTCTGGTTTGTCCATCTTAAAGAAGAAACTAAGTGATCTTCAGACTCAACACAGCCGAGAAATAGCTGCAGATGCCCTCACTATTACACATTAAATCCTTGAGAAGGCCTTCTGTGTACTGGCAATACCTTAAAGATCTTAATCAAATCCACTGCATCACATGATCTTACTATCAAAAGATCTTAAATCACATCCACTGCATCACACTTCTTTAACTGTTCACTACTAAAAGCAGGATATACAACTTTTGCCTGGCAAAAAATAAAGGGTTGGCAATCTTTCCTTCAAAGTAACATGTCTTCACTTTCTTAAAACCCAGATGAATGTTGATGTGAAGTTTCACAGAATTATGACAATAACTCGAGCATCATAATAATTTATAACAACTTTAATGTTAAATAAGAAGTATGTAAGAATTATGTTTAAAGTGGGATGGAATTCCTTGGTTGTTGCGTGCAATGTTTGTAGACTTTTCTTCTGGAAGAATCTGAAGAAAAATTATTTCATGTTTCTCAATTTTTCTTCAAGTTAAATTCACATGAAGTGCTTTTGCCAGGCGAACTTCATCTTTCAACCTAACAAATATGTTTAAATTGGATTTAAATGAGGGAAAGAAATGCACAGGTCAAAAACCAAATTTTATCTTGAAAGGCCAATGGGCAATAATTACATACTTGCTAATGATCCCTTCATAAAATTGTCTCACTTATTCTTTACTTTGTTCATATATATCGGAATGCTTGTACTATTGAAAGCAAGATGGTCAATTAATGGAAGTTCACCAAGTTTTATGTTTAAGCAGAGGTCGTTTTGCATGTTACAGATGGGTGAATGATGATTTCTAAAACTACTTTTGTGCATAGTTTCTTGTAAGCATTTTAAGGATGTGCACCTGTACGAGACTTGCTTGCCTACGAAAATAGCAATTGCCTTCTTCATCTTCATGAACTGGGTGTATGTCCAGATGGTACGCATTGTCCCAAATCTCAACAAGTTTACTTGGGTAGGGATGAACTGTAACCTCAATGACATATAGAGGTTGCTCAATGCCCTAAAATTGTAAAATGTTGTATTTAGAAAAACATGTGCCTGGCATTCTCTTGTTATTTATGCAATGACACAATTCCACTCTATTCCACTATACATAACCTGCAATAAAGTCGCAATAATAATGGTATTTGTTTGTAGATGTAGATCGTCCAGGTTAGTATAGTCCTGAGAGGATTGTTTTTGTTGTTGACTGACATTTCAAAAACCTTAGCGGTAGTCATCTTCAGAGTCAAATGAGGAGTTCAAACCATTTACTTTAATAATGGATTGTCATTATGGCATATCTCTAATGATGTGCTTATACACATCTCTAATGATGTGCTGATGCACTATACACAAGTTCAAACATTTCTGGATCACTTGGACTTTGTATGCTGTTCATAAAAGGTTCACTTAAGTTTCCTAACAACCTACCAGAGAATATTGTGCCATAGCATCTTCATCACACCAGCAGTATTCAGGTGTTCGTAGCAAATGAGGCCTCAATATAGAATGGTCTGTTCTGAAATTTGGAATATGATTGACATCTGAATTATCGTAAGTTCTTTCCCACTAATTTTCAAGGTTTCTATATGTACTTGTTGCTGGAGGAATCTTGTTTTAGTTGAATGTCTGCTTTTCTTTTATCTATTACAGGCACAAACTCCACCTGCAATAATTTTGTGTAAATATCAAAATGTCACTCATATTAAATAATTACTACATAGTAAATATAAATACTACACTGAAATGTTACTACCCCCCTCTCATCATTGCACAAATATTTTTGGAAAATTTTTTCTCCATTCAATATTTCTCTATTGCTATGTGTTTGTACCTGCTTGAATTGCTTTTTTCATTCTCCTGGTTTTGCACATTAGTGGATACCTATGAAAATAAAAAGACTACTTTAAGAAAATACTCGTGACGAGATGTAATCTAAAGAATTACGAACAACTTTTTCAAACGTTGTTTTCGAGTATGGCAAAAATGAGTGCGATTTAGAAGACAAAAACCCACAATTTGGTGATGCCCTTTGTATTGTATATCTAATGGCTAGTGAAAATTACTTTTGAAACAATACTTTAATAAGATATTGGAAAGTAAGATAAGTGCTTTTGTCTTTTTACTCTTTTCGGACGGATAAGAAATTTTTTAAACATAAAAGTAATGATTTGAGAGAAGCTTTTTTAAGAAATGACAAGAAAGCAATTCAATAACTTGTCTTACTTGTGCCATTTCATCGCCCACATTAGTAAGATCTATTGTAAATGGTGTAGATTTTTTTGTCTTGCGTCGTCTGGGAGGTAGGGCCTTATGAAAGATTTGATGGTATTTTGTCTCGGTAACCTTTTAATTTTTTTTTCACAGGACTCAATCGAAGAGGCAAACCATTTTCTGTGGGAAAGTTTTGTTCAAGAAACTGTTTCAAGCTTTCAGCTTTTTGCACTGCTTCTTGTAGAGTGGTCTCGTTGTCGATCAGGAAGGTCATACTGTGTATTTGGCCCAGTTGTTCTTGCAAGATCTTTCTGAGCCTTTTGGAACTTTTGTTTGAAGTAGTTTCAAATTTAACTGTTTCTTCGTGGGGTATGTCGTGGATATATTTTTTGTTATCAGAAGACAACGATTCTTGCAAAACAACGTCTCTTTTGATGGTGCTCCATGATGACGTATTGGCTTCCTCTAGTTCTTCTGCGGTAGTATCTTGTGGCAATCCAAGAGGTTCATTGTCGAGAGTGATGAAAACGCTATTTCGGTAGTCTTCTGGAAGACTTTCGAAATCCCACTCGTCATAGAAAGAAAAAACTGCGAAAAAATGTTTGCAAGGGAAATGGGTAGTATGCCATATGTTGCAGGTACAACTTGGTTCTCGGAAGTCTATGAAATGTTTTTTTTCCAACATTGCTCTCGCTCTTGACATTGAACGTGCCCTTCTTTAAATTAACCGGAGTTATGTCGTCCATTTTGAAAATGGCTGAAGCGTATCGATTTTTAAGGCAACATTTCAAAAAGTGCGGAGGTCTGTTGTGCAAGTATTCTGGGAATGATGGGTTGTACTTGCAGTAGGCGCTACTCAGTCGTAGATTTGCATCCAAATAGTGCTGAAGAACATCGGGAATGAAAGATTCAACCAACATCACCGCAATACCATACACAGATTTGTCAATACTTTGGGGTAAGTATTCGTATTTAAAGACTCTGTTTTGAGCCTCAACGCCATTGTTAGTATTAACAATGTTGGTGACTTGTTTTTCGAAAGCGTGTGCCCATCTGACAGCGCAAGAAAACCACGTACGGTCAACATATTCTCTCATCTTGCTGCATTCTTTATACACTTTGGACTCTCGAAAATCTTTTACTGCCTTGTCGTACTCCTGTTTGGTACTGACATTAGCAATCTTTTTCATTTGCAGAAGGAAGTGTTGTTGCTGTTCATATGACAATCCATTCTTGCTTGCTGAAGCCCACCGTTTTAGCGCTTGCAACCTGTGAAAGTCGCAAACACAAACCTGTACATCGGGAAAACTTTTTTCTATCGCGCCTATTTCTGCTAATGAGTAATCCACCATAAAATATTTTGGGTTCCATACTGGATTCCATCCTTTTATAGTAGCCAGAGCCTGTTGGAGGTTGTAAAAACTGTCGGACTTTTCGAGGAGTACTACGGTTCATTAATGGACCGTAGTACTCCTCGAAAACCTAACAATTGGAATTATGTAGTCAGACAAAAATTTCGCCTCTTACGTTCCCAACACTTGATGTTTAATGTTGGAAAACACAAGCAATCGACAATATGTTGCATTGATGCTTGAGGCGAACTTTATTCATGGCAACTATGAGACTTTCTTGTCATGATTACTTTAGATGAAAATATGGAACCTCTGTATAAAACACAAGACTTACTGGAGTGATATTTTCGACACAGCTGTCTAATCACGACGTTGGCGTCATCAGAAGGCTTACAGAAACTGCATTTATCTGTGGAAAATTTACAATTGTTATTTCTTATCCATGATACTACACATGGATATCAACTGTTTATCCTACCTTGAGCACATTTACACGAGTCATGGTCGCAAGTCCGTAGATGAAGTCATGAAGACGACTGTCAACTTTAGGACCGTAGAACTTCGTACATATTTTCTCTAAAGATATGGAAGAAAGAAGATACTCCACTATAAGTACTAGCTCGATACAAAATCTTGCTTTTCTAATATATGTATGTAGTGAAACAACTCGTTCCTATCTCAAAGTTCTCGAGCTGTGAATAAATAAGCCCTTACCTGGATCATAATAGTCGTACACGGACACAGGGACAGGTTGAACTATTCCGACTTTAAAGTCACGTTTGAACTCCAGATTGAAACAAAGCGCGTGTGCTGGCTATTTTGTCCAGGTACAAATACACTTGTCGGTCAGATATTTCAACTTCGCTATTCCTGGATTAGCTTTGTCTTGAAGCTAAAAGAAAATGTAATTTTAACAAATGGATTCAAAGAATTAGGTATATATTTTCTTACGAGGAATAGCGAATAAAGAAAACACTTCAATTGCACGAAATCTGGATACTGTTTTTTTTTTATTTTTCTGTTTGTTTGAAAAATATTTTAATGGTCGCCAAGCTACAGATAAAATTGAACTATCCATGAAATCATGAACTTGCATGTAAAACGAATGTAAAACGGCTGTTTCCATGATAGTTGTTTCATGCAACTAGGCGGGAATCGTAATCGAAATATAAATATTAAAGCCCAGAATATAATGCGTAAAACAGCCACAAAGAAAAAACATATATTGTTTCTCTTCTTTATGGCTGTTTTAAGCATTATATTCTGTACTTTAATATTTATATAATAATTCTTTTTACGTAATGAAACTTTATTTAAATAAATTTTTCTAGAACAGAGGCAATTGTTCAACACATCGTACTTTCATCAATATAAACAGACAGTCAAATCAGTGCTTTGCCTAGAGTGCAGAGCGTCATTTTGTGTAATCAAGCAGTTTTATGAAAACAGTCTAAGCAATATGGCGTTACTTACATTGGATTTAAATGATCCCATACAACAGTAGGAAGAAATCGAGATGACCTAACGCGATGATTTACCATGAAAGACAGCAAAACAAAGATTGTATAGTAACAGAATATTCTCTCAGATAACAAAGCCATGAGCGAAGTTATATTTCAAACTCAATATTTGAGGAAATTTTTGCCGACGGTTTGAGATTACAAACAATATATGAAACCACGACTGTCTTTAATTTCTCTTTGTACTCACACGTTTTAGAACCGTATTTATATGCTTTTTGTATTATAATAAATGCGTAGATACCGTCAATGTTTCGTCGATGAGAACACTTAAAGAATATTCAGCAAATGTTCACTGCTCAGTGTCATAACATGACTGTCAAGAATGAAAACGCATGTTGTTATAAGATTAAAACTATCCCACATTCCACAAAGTTAGTTCCTTCGTTTCGTCCGTCTATTTAATGGAGTTCGATTACAACACACGCGATGAATACAGTACTTGATGTTAAATAATATCATTTGGCGAAAAGATATAGTTACTTTATTAATAAGCAGCTTTTGTGCTTTTATTTCATACTCTGTTCAATTCAAAGGTTTTTGTAATTTTGATCCATGTCGAGACTATTCAATTTCTAAGAGCAAAATATCCACACCTGTAAAATGCATTGTAATATAATCATTCTCAATAAATTATTTATACAACCTGCATTAAGTGCTGTCGTAGAAATTAAGACATTTCTAAGTGATATGTTGTTTGTAAGTTTTTTCGTTGTGAGCAGGTTGTTTTGCTTTGTCGATAATTTCAGTTTGATATTACTTCAGTTTGATTTTCTTTGTCAAATTCCAATAAAAATATCTGGCAAACCACAAGGCGCCTGTCACCACGCAATTTCATAATTCAAAATGACACAACAAAAATATAACAACTATACTTTGAGACATCGATAGTATTTTATTTGACAGATAAATTCCTATTTTTTGACTGTTTCTTGATATTTGAAAGTTTCCATTCAAAAAATCAACAGCCAAGAAACTGAAGTAATAGCTTGTTAGTTCAGAAAAGCTCCAAGAAGAGCTTGTTTAGTTCAGGAAAATTTCAATCCATTTAGTTATCTTGAAATTATATACTCTCATTTCGTTATCTTCGTTTCTTCTTCTTTAAGATATTTCTCTGAGTTGTGCTGGTAGTCCATATCTTTATCTTGAATTTCTTCTTCGTCGATATCTTCATGCTTCTTTTCTTGTTCGAACTCGTGTGCTTTCTTCTCGTTTATTTCCTCTATTTCAGTTTCTTTTTCCATGTCCTGGTACTCTTCTTCGATGTTTTCTTCATTAAACTGTACACATCAATTTATTAATAGGATGTGTAATAATCACATAAAGTGTGGAGAACTTATCGTAAAGATACATTTGACGTATTCTTTTTAGGACAATGTATTTTCTTTTTTTAACATTTTTTACATTTAATTATTCAAAGTATTATCTTAAGTCTGTACTGTAATTCCAATAGGAAACGACGATTTCGGTTAGTTTTGCCTTGTTGAGAATTTTCCTGAAAATTTTCTTATCGTTGTTGCCATCTGGAAGAATTGCAATCAATTTTAAACATAGTTTAGAAAACACACAATAAAGACATAAATAAATCATTAATTAAACCTAGTGCAATCTCTTTTCTTGCTAATAGTAAACAAAACGGTATGTGTAACGGCAATAAACTGGCATACCTTATATTTCTAACACATTCTTCTAAACACTTTAACACTGTTAGCATTCTCATAATTTCGCACAATCTGCGCGAAGTGCTGGTTCACTGCTCTCGAAACTTCACTCGAACGATGGGACTGTATTTTGACAATTGTATTTAACACTTGATAGGATATTTACAGTGGTTTGTGCACGATTTATGATACGGAGTTCCAAACGTTGGTTCTTTGCGACACAAATATGTTATTGAAACGTTGAGATTACGGCCAACCGTCAATCTTTAAACTTGAAACTTATTCAAACGCTATCGCCTCCTGCGATACGATTTCCAACTTATCACTTTTGTACGTCTAACAACGTCTGTTTTCCGAACTCCCGAACCAACGCTTGCAAGCTCTTATTTATATTATAATTATTAGGATATAATTTTGGGCGTTTGCATGACTTGCACTACGCCATTCCGTTTATAGAGTACCGTCATTACCTACATCCTACCGCAATGCCACATTGGGTAGAAAAGTGTTCCTAAGTATTTTGAATTTACGTACAGGATTTCCACTGAAACCACAGTTTAATAACTATATACGTATTTTCCTATTTGTCTAGTAATATATGAACATTTTACATAAACATAATATCCGTTATATCTTAGTATCAAAATATACAGTCACACTCTACATACATAACATGACAATTTACAACACATAACTTGTTTAAACTTAATAAAACGTTTTACGACCATGGTTATATGAAAATGGCATACTTTATATTTCTACCACATTCTTTTAAACACTTTAACAGTGTTAGCATTCTCATCCCTCGTTTCAACTGAAACTAACAGTGTCTCTGCAATAAAACGTTTAAACAATGTCTCTGTAATAAAACGTTTAAACAATGTCTCTGTAATAAAACGAAGAATGTGGTAGTAATATAAAGTATGCCAGTTTTCGGCATATATAACTATAGTCGTAAAACGTTTTATTAGAGAGACTTGTTAGTTTGAGTTTAAACAGTGATGAATGCTAACAGTGTTAAAGTGTTTAGAAAATGTGGTCGAAATATAAAGTATGCCAGTTTTTGGCATATATAACCATGGTAGTAAAACGTTTTATTAGAGACATTGTTAGTTTGAGTTTAAACGAGTGATGAGAATGCTAACAGTGTTAAAGTGTTTAGAAAAATGTGGTCGAAATATAAAGTATGCCAGTTTTCGGCATATATAACCATGTTCGTAAAAACATTTTATTAGAGAGACACGGTCAGTTCAAGTTTAAAGAAGTGATGAGAATGCTAACGGTGTTAAAGTGTTTAGAAAAATGTGTTACAAATATAAGCTATGCCAGTTTTCGGCATAAATAACCACGGTCGTAAAAACGTTTTATTAGAGAGACACGGTCAGCTTAAGTTAAATTGCATTGAACATTATCAATTAAACTTTAAGAAATACACATGCTATGAGTGATAACATTGTTTTGACTAAATCTCTGGGAATTTAGTTTATCTATGTTTTCATGACTTCAATCGAAAAAAATAAACTCTCAAACATTGTTTATTCACGGTGGATTAAAATAAAGCTAGAGATTTTAGGTTTTTGGTAAATAGAAAATGTGCGAACTCATATTGAATGATGGCCTTTATGAAATAAAAAGAATTTGGCATCTTTTGCATGCATTAGAAAAGAAACAAATCTTGAGCTACAAGTCGACTATGCACAACGGAAAATATCAGAAGTGGAAACAAACGAAACAAATTAAGAGGAACTTTACAATAAAGTAAATGGTTTGAATCTGAAGATGACTAAGACAAAGCTTTTGACTCTGAAGATGACTACCGCTAAGGTTGTCGAAACGTCAGTCAACAACAACAAAAACAGTCCTTCTCAGGACTATACCAACCTGGACGATCTACATTTACAAACATGTAACGAACTTCACAATCATGCAAAACCGTACACACAAGAATACAAGGGAATTTTAGTGTGTAAAAAACGATAAACACCCCTTAGTAGCTATATGTACAGCGAAATAACAATATCTGCACAACAAATGGAATTGTACATTCATTTATAGCAAAATAACAATAAATACACAACTATAAACAATCCGAACTATAAACATATGAAATTTTCCTGGATGCATACGTAATTGTATGAACAAATTTTCAAGAACGTCCCTCTGTTTTGTAGAAGTTTCTTTTCTTTTTTAGTAAAGTTTCTCCCTTTTTGGTTTGCATTACAGCGATATTTTAGCCTTACAGAACACGACAAGTCATCTATTGATTGCCAAGGTTTTATGGACTTTAAGTGAACAAAAACGCAAAAAAACATCATTCATGTAACCGCCAGTAAATAAATAATGAACTCAGCTGAAAAGTAGCATTCCTTGCTGTTTGGACATTTCTTCTTTCAGTGTCTCTCAATTTAGGCCAATCTGTCAGTGACATAAATCCACGGACTCTATTAAAACGAAGCAACAAAAATGAGCATTAGTGACATTTAACAACGCATCCTTTTTCACACGCCATTTAGCAACAGTAGCTACTATACACTAGCTTAACAAGTCCAATAGGATGAACGCCAAGTATGTTCACTTATTTTTAAAAGTCTTTCTACAACGCTTTGATAAAACTTCCCGTCAGCCTTGTCGAAATATTAGCGATCATATCGGATCAACTGAAATAATTTTAGGTACATGTTGTGTTATAAAGACTTATTATTTGATTACACGAAGCTTATACTACGACTATCTTTTTGTATTTCGATAGTTCCTATGGCACTTTCAAGGTCACATTTAACCGTTGCGCAGAAAAACCGTTAACAATGATTTAGCCGAGTTTATTTCTATCTTACGTCAGGCCTGGGCAGACAAAAACCGTATGACTAAAATTATAAAGTACATGAGCTATAGCTATGGCTAGATGAAATAGCAATTTTAGAGTAATCATCTCCAGTCAAGAGGGTGGACCGTCATGCCAGGCGCGCCAAATTAATCGCAGTTGCTACACTTCAACTTTCGTCCGTAGATTTACATGATTGGGCGAAACATGACACCTCTGAAAAATGTTTAACCAAAAAAGATAGTTAATCACGTATGATCACTTAGCAGAACAGAGAGATACCTGAATATTATGCATGTCATTAAAGGATGAAATATCTTTGGATGTCATAAGCCCTCTAATTATCAATCAATCATTTCAAAATGGCGTCTGAATTCTAAGCTTTCGCGATTACGCTTACCACAAATTTTTTAGATATCGATATGATAATGAAAAATAGTTACGCTAAGCGTAAACGTGTCTGCGAAACGACATGTCTTCAATATCAGAACAGCATTTTCACCGCCCTCGCTATTCTTATGCATATGCAGCATACTCGAGTATATTCTCGTCCGTTTGATTTGAAATTACATGAAGCAGAGTTGCTAACTTTTGGTATAAAGAAAAGTGAAATACAGTTACTCGATAAAAATACTTTTATCTTCCAATGCACATGTCTGAACAAACTTTAATAATTCATGACCCCTTTTGAAAATTCTTGTAAACCACGACGATATTCTTGGATCACTTACAGCATATCGTTAAAACATCAATGTAGGACGGAGAGAGAGAGAGAAGGAAAATGACCGTCGCTTTTAATTTTGAACATGTTCTTCAACTTTAACTAAAGATTTACACAGATGGGCTTTTATATAAAACAATAATGCGTGTTCTGCATTCTTGCGTAAACTAAAAAAGGTATGAAAAATTCGATATCCAACGTGATATTCATCGAGTTAATCCTCCAGTGAAATATTCTTGGACTCGGATGCAACTTTAATGATGAATATGCTCGTGTTAGGTTGGTCGATTTTTAACAATAGTCTATTTAATGTTTTAGCAGTTATATCGTAAGTATGAAAAAGGAGGATTAAAAGTGCAGCTTTTGTCTACTTAGACTACGTTTACACTACTCCGGATCGGTCTGAAGCGCATAGTTGAAAATGGGGAACATTTTATGTTTTGGAAAGCTTTTAATGACTGGTGTCGTTGTAATTATTACAAATCATTGTTTTGACCTATAAACATCTAGCAATATGAAAATAAGAAATGGCGCCCTCTTTCACAAACAACTAACGAATTTTGACAGTGAATTTAAACGTGTAAACGCAGTCAAATTTTGCCGTCACGCTTTTGCTCCGGCGTAGTGTAAACGTAGTCTTAGTATATTTAAACGCTTACAAATCATTGTAAACGATTGAATCATACCTGCTTATGTACTCAAACAGTGATTTTCATAACTCGCTTAACGATTTCTTCTATTTTCTTTCCTCTAAAACCTTTATCTCCGAAAGTCCCCTTGGCTATCTTTAACAACTCGACAAGTTCCTCTCTAAGACAGTCAATTACGTATTGTCGATAAAGATAATTTCCAAACAAAATTGAAATGCTTGCGATGAAAAATGGCTATCGTATGAAAAAGTGGTTGTTTTCTTGCCTCGTTTTCGACGGAAATGTCTGCGACAGTTTGTTCATCAACAGTACAAAGGGACTTGAGTCATCTTTTGTCCGTGGCATGTTATCAATATTACTTTGTTTGATTGATTTCAAAACATTTCTCTCCTCGTCTTTATGTGGGACTATATGAAATAAAAAAGTGACGTAGGTGAACAATTGATATTCAAGGAATTGATAAGAAATCCAGAAGGGTTCACAATATAGTTGATTTGGAGTGTTTGTTTAGGCAATATTAGATTTGTTTTGACTTTTCACGACATGCTGTTGGGTCAAGGAGCTAAAAAACGAGTCGAACTTTTGGCGAAAGTATGGATTGTATAGCAAATTGGGCCAGACATATTCTCAGTAGTGATTTTAAAAAAATTGACACGGCCTTCTGTATTAATTTCACTTGGCTGATCAACATCTAATTAATTTAGAGATTTAATCTTGTTGCTCGTATCTAAGAATGAAAAATTAGCAAGCTATATTCACAATTCGTCGATTTATGCTATGCGTGAAGAACGAATTGGATTTTTTTATTAGTTCCCATTTCTTCATGTTGAGCAGTATCTTCTTTTGGTTTTTGTTCTAACTTATGGTAAACACCATTAGAGAATTGGCTAGTGCAATTCATATATGCTTCATGTCAATGCCGGATTAAGGGGTGGACATAATAGTTCAGGTCCTTGGCCACCAACAAAACAAGAGAAAAGGGATCGCCCACCCGATTAGTCAAATTGCTTACTGATAATACAAGTGACGACAACAGGAGAAATAGTCCAATGTCTGTAATAACAATGGACTAATGGTGTTGAACAACGACCAGCGCCAGACCTTGGACAGAGGCCAGTTATAATCTCAAATGAAATGAATGTCTATTTGCTTTTTAGAGGTGCAAAGGACTTTCAACAATGTGGTAAAAAAAGGCCATCGAGCATAAGGTGGTCCCCAGTCCTCCCGAGTGGTTAATCCAGCCCTGCTTCCTGTTGTTATCGAAACTGTAAAGTTGTCTTAAAAGTTACTTCCAAAGATCTTAACATTTCATCATCATCTAAAGCTTCAGAATTAGATGGACTTGGCGATGCTCCAAAAGTATCTGGCTCTATGGCCAGACCTGGATTACAAGAATCTCTGGTCTTTACTACAGGATACAATGCTTTAAACCAGTCCCCAAGACCACGACTCTCTTGAAAACATTTGATTCCAGATGCATTTTAATTGTAAGCAGCATGTTTACAGTCACTAACACATTTCTTGAACTTTGTAATGTAACTGCTTTACACTGGACTTCAACTCACTACCTCTTGCTAAAGCTCTCTTTTTCAGTTCTCTTAAAATTTCCCCATAACTCTCACTATTTCGTTGGCACTTTGTATTGGTGAATATAAGTTTTCTTTTGTAATAATCACTGTTCAAAACGATGTCAATTAAATCATTTACATCATCAGGGTTCCAAGTAGACTTACGGCCAGGTCTCTTTTTTCTCTTTTCATCAATTTCTTTCAAATCACTATCGTCATTTGACTGATCAAGTAAATCATGTTCAAACTCATCATATTCCACACTAAAAAGAAACAAAGTTAAATTTAACTTAACATGATTTACTCATTCAATTTTTTGTAATTAATCAAAATTTCAAACTATCGACCATGCAAAGAACAGATAATAAATAAAAATGCTTTATGACGAAAAAAACCAAATTGTAACAAATGTAATGAGAAACAAGAAGTTGCACTGTAAACAAGTAATGACTCCCTAATGTGATGGCTTGTAGAAATTATGACTGTTAATTTAGTAATATCAATACCTAGCATGATGTGCATTTGTATGCAAAAGTTGTATAAATAAAATACCTTAGTAAATCTAACTAAATCTAACATGCTTTTTCTAAATCTATGTTAAAATAAACCTGTTTGTTTCAAACGAGTAAAGGACTACTTCCATGAACACATTTCTAACACTATTTAAGCCAGAATTTTAAAAAATTTACAATGACAACCATATATAATAGAAATAATAACACTATTTATTAAGCTCAATGATACTATAAAATACCATAGCATATTTACATACCATAAATGGATTTCATACTTCATAACTTACATACATACCTTTCAGTTGGACCCATAACTTCGCCTTCGGTGATCTCACAAGAGGACAGTCGAAATGAACGTATGCTCGCCCGAGAAGATGAACTCCTACCACTTTCTTGATCGACTTCCTCACTCCCAATCTTTTCACGAAAACATGCATCGCAACGAGAAACCGCTCGTCCTGCTTTCCAACCAACACTCTCTTCGTCGTCTTCAAAAATAGAGCACCTTGTACATATAAATTTTTTGCACTTTAAACAAGTGTATTTTGTTAAACTTGTGCAAGAAATACAAGGGCCATTAGCATCACTAGATATATGACTTGTAGCTAAATCGAGAGATCGGAACACAGCAGTCATATTGAAATTAGTCACGTGAAACGTGAACTGAAAGATAAATATTAAATGTCACCATCGTTACGCGCGCGAATTGTTTTATCCTCTTGCCGCGAAAACGATTTTACCCACTTTAACTTTTTTGTAAAAAAAAACATCATCGTATGCGCATTGTCAACTTTCTTGTTCTCCTTCCATTGTATTGCTCTATAATAAAGCTAAATATGTTCAGTGGCGTAGCTAGCGAAAAACATTTGGTCGGGCTCACGAGGCGCCACCATGGTTGGCGCCGAGCGAGAAATTTTCCGAATTTAGACTCCCTAGAACGTCGGAAACGGCTATCTTAGAAAGCAAATGCGTGATATTTATGCAGGAAATAGAACCATTTTGGTTAATTTAAATTGCCGAAGGATCTTATAGTAAAGCAGAGAAACAGTTCAAAAATAGTTGCAGATATGTGATTTATTTTCTCAACACCACATACATAAATAGATACCTATGTACATCTTGTAAAAAAACTTTGACAAAAGAACCGAAAAAGGCTCAGATTTGTCATTAACAACTATCAAAAGTTGTGATGAAATTGTCGTGCTGAAATGACAATCATCATTGACTGCATTAAAAAGTTCCCGGAAAAATTCTCACATGCCATGGACGTAAGACATCATCAGCTTGCTATCAGCCATATATGAATACCTATTTGTGTAAGAAAGCAAGTATTAAATGAGGATATGATCTTCGCACTTTGCTGGACAATTTAAGCAATCGTCTCAGGACCTGAAAAAATCAGGTGACTCAACGGGATTCGAACCCTTCTGGTGTGCAGTGCTCTGACCTACTGAGCTATGAAGTCACACAGTGGTGAGCAGGTCAATATTGTTGGGCTCATGTTTTCTCGTGAAGGAATGTCGAATGAATGTTTTATGAAGTGCAGTATTTGAAATTAAATGAGGATATGATCTTCGCACTTTGCTGGACAATTTAAGCAATCGTCTCAGGACCTGAAAAAATCAGGTGACTCAACGGGATTCGAACCCATGACCTCTGCGGTGCCGGTGCAGTGCTCTGACCTACTGAGCTATGAAGTCACACAGTGGTGAGCAGGTCAATATTGTTGGGCTCATGTTTTCTCGTGAAAGAATGAAAATGTTTTATGAAGTGCGGTATTTGAAATTAAATGAGGATATGATCTTCGCACTTTGCTGGACAATTTAAGCAATCGTCTCAGGACCTGAAAAAATCAGGTGACTCAACGGGATTCGAACCCATGACCTCTGCGGTGCCGGTGCAGTGCTCTGACCTACTGAGCTATGAAGTCAGGTCCTGAGACGATTGCTTAAATTGTCCAGCAAAGTGCGAAGATCATATCCTCATTTAATTTCACCGCACTTCATAAAACATTCATTCGACATCCTTTCACGAGAAAACATGAGCCCAACAATATGACCTGCTCACCACTGTGTGACTTCATAGCTCAGTAGGTCAGAGCACTGCACCGGCACCGCAGAGGTCATGGGTTCGAATCCCGTTGAGTCACCTGATTTTTTCAGGTCCTGAGACGATTGCTTAAATTGTCCAGCAAAGTGCGAAGATCATATCCTCATTTAATTTCAAATACCGCACTTCATAAAACATTCATTCGACATTCCTTTCACGAGAAAACATGAGCCCAACAATATTGACCTGCTCACCACTGTGTGACTTCATAGCTCAGTAGGTCAGAGCACTGCACCGGCACCGCAGAGGTCATGGGTTCGAATCCCGTTGAGTCACCTGATTTTTTCAGGTCCTGAGACGATTGCTTAAATTGTCCAGCAAAGTGCGAAGATCATATCCTCATTTAATTTCAAATACCGCACTTCATAAAACATTCATTCGACATTAAAGCAAGTATTCGTGGTTTTTCAATGAACTTCTTTACTACCTCATCATGCAATGTGTTGGCGTCTTCTTTCTCTGACAGTATGTCTTTGTGAATGGAAATCCTACAAAGAGAACTAAAACGTCCTTGGCTCAAAGTATTTCTAAGATAATTTTTTACCCTCTTCAAACATTAAAATGACCTCTGAACTGAAGCACTTGTAATTGACAAAACCCCATTTATCTTTAACTTCTGGAATACTAGATTGATAATGGAACTGAAAAATATATTTCAATAATTCATCGCATGAATCACAGTGAAAGTCTTTATCTCTGTAAATAAAACAAAGTTGGCTAACTAGCATTGGTATGTCAAACATATCACCATAAACCTCCTTTAGAAGATTTATATTTTCTGAGGGCACTTCACCTTCCTACATCTTAAACACCCTAGGATTAACAAGGTCAAAAATCTAAAACGCTCCATATCCTGAAATCGCTCAGTCAGCATAGTCACAATTGTGTCAAGAATTTCAAAATACATTTGTTTGTAATTATGCCGTTGGTCATACCTGGTTACTGGTGGTCCCACTTTCTCAACAGCCAGGTTGTACACCTGACAATATTCTCTCAAACCTACTCATTCCATAATGAAAGTCAGTGTCCTTGTCTTGCAAGATAGAATAAAGTACGGATGACTGCTCAAGAATTCTCCGACAAACATGTACCAAGAAACAAAACAAGAAGCCATTAAGGTAGCCAAGTAAACCAGTAACCTTATTTATTGGATTATCAGTAAGATTTTCAAATATGTCTATCAGTTTCTCATAGTTAGAATGCAATACATTGATGACATGAGCCCTATAAATACCATCTTGTGTCACCAGGACTAGGAAACTCAAGCCTATGGGATGATAGTAAAGCTTTTCTTTTAGGGGGAATTGCTAGTAAAGGTGCAGAAAGCACTAATATTAACAAAGAAAATCTTAACAGGTGAGATGGAGGATGCAGCTTGACATAATACTAGATTTAGTCTATGGGCAGCACAGTGAACAAATTGAGCATAAGGATAATCCTGCTGAACTTGAGCTTGAACACCATTGAGATGACCAGACATAACAGATGCACCATCATAAGTCTGTCCAATAAATTTCTCTTTCACATTATTATATTGACTTAACTTACCCTTAACCACTGATGATAAGCAGTGTCAGTCCTATCACAACTAACATCAACAAACCCAAGCTGTCTTTCAATGACACTTTCCCCTTTGTCCATTCAATTGTTCTTTGGTAGAAACATCAGTTGCCTCATCAACCTGTATACTTAAGAAAGTGCAGCAATATATTTCCTTTAAAATCTCATCTCTATTATCTTATCAAGACAATCAATCAAATCCTTCTGAATATCAGGAGAGACTCCAGTAAACCGCCCTCCCCCAGCAAGGTGGGTTTCAGCAAGCCTTCCATGTAGTCGCCTTTCAAAAACAGAACCCATCTTGGCAAAACTTTCAAGTAGCTCTCTATAATTCCCTCTATTCATGCTGCTACTAGATTCATCATGCCCCCTAAATGCAAGCTCTTGCCTAGACAAGTATAAAACAGCTTCTGTTATGGTTTTCAACATTTCCCTGTTTTGCCTTACCTCCTCGTTATGACGCTGAATCTCTTCACGTCTAGTTTGTGACATGAGACAGTCGATACGAGGCTGAAAACCGTAGGTCTTCCAGGTCTTGTAGGCACCCATGTGCGATTTTGCCTTCTCATGCTTCTTACAATCGGATAGGAAATTCTTCATGTTTTGAATCCCGTCTGCGTCCATGAAGATGACGATCCAGGGCAAAATAAAAGACAAGGCCAACAGAACAATGCATTCTTTTCTGAGCTACAACAAAGCCAATCTTTCTTCGAGTACCAACTTTCCTGAAAGCTTCTATTGCCTGTAGTCGCTTGTAAATTTGGAATTGGCCGCTGCTTTACGAGTATATTTTGCTCGCCTGACTGTCGAACAGAAAAGGGTTTCTTTTGTAGTTCACTTATTATATCGATTTCATTAGCCGAAGCCATTGTAATGTAAGTTATCACGATTTCCGAACGTATATTTCGAAAGCTCAAAATTCCAGTCACGCTTTTGAAAATGAGCCCGACTAGATGTTGTTAATTAAACGTTTGAGTGTGTTCACAGCTACTCTCAACCAATCAGATTACAGATATTCCCACTATAGATTTTATTACTTGGTCGGGCTGAATTTTCAGAGCCCGACTAGATGTTGCGAAACAGCGCATATGAGTTTGCTCAGTTGCTGTCAACCAATCAGATTGCAGATAATCCCACTATGTTCTGTTCAGGTGCCATGCATGATGCATGCTTGGGCTACCATGTCTCTCCAACGTTGACGGTTACGAGCACAGGCAAAGATTTCTGCAGTGTTGGCGATTCCGGTAACTTTCTTAACTCTGTCCAAATACGTTATGCGTTGACGGCCTCGTGCTTTTTCCTTCGATTTTCCTTGCAGCGCAACACATTCCAGGCCTTCCTTCCGAACTACGTGGCCAAGAAAACGAAGTTGTCTCTCGATTATTACGGAGAGTAGTTCTCTCTTCACACCGGCTCTTCTCATAACCTCTTCATTTGAGACGTGATCAATAAATGACACTTTCAACATCCTTCTCAAAAACCACATTTCTGCTGCTTCTAAGTTTTTCTCCAGGTCAGCAGTTAGAGTCCAGGCTTCACAGCCGTAAGTCAAGATTGACCAAATGTAGCATTTGAGTAATCGTATTTTGAGTGGCATTGATAAGTTTCGGTTGACAAAGATGGATCGCAAGTCTTGAAATTTCAATTTTGCAACAGCAATTCTCTTCTTCACTTCCTACTATAGATTTTACTATTTGGTCGGGCTGAATTTTCAGAGCCCGACTAAACTGCGTAATGCCTGGCACTAGAAATGCACTTGTCATTGTTGCTAAGTAACGTTTAAAAATATGATAATTTTGCTAATAACGACGCAATTTGACAAATATTACACTAATAGACTGTGGATTATTCCAAAAAGAGTCGCAGAATTTAAAATTTTCGCAAATCCAATTTTAAAGAAAACAAATTTTTCATTTTTGGGAAAATATTTGGTCGGGCTGGGCCCGACCAGCCAGACCGCTAGCTACGCCACTGAATATGTTAACGTTCTGAGTTCTTTATTATTCGTAAAAAGCGGTATGTGGAATAACAATACGAAGGTATTGCAAGTTTAATTGCTTCATCACACTAAGCATATGCACATACAATAACTGAATTGCAAACACTACTTTCGCTGCAGAGTAAGTCAGAATGCATGAAACTACTTGACAACTGCCGTATTGGCAATATTTTGGAAATAATTGGTGTTGAGTCATGCTCATAAACCACAAAAACATGTTAAGGAAATAGAATGTGCGTAGTTTAGTTTATTAATGTATCCGTTCCCACACGGCTAAGAGCCAAGGAACAGTTATTGACGTTAGTTAAATTTCCTTATATACCATATATAGTGTAAACAGAGGAACTACTCCTGCCAATAATATTATTTGTTGTTTGTAATAAATAGTATAAATACTGCTTTGTAAAATAATAAAAATCAGTTCGATCATTAAGTTCGTTCGTGGTTGTTACTCAAGGTATAGAGTATACTCAAGGTATAGATATATAGATATCTATACCTTATATATATATAGAACATTTTAAATAAACGTTCCGATATGTTTAGTGCATGCCGTCATGTAACTTAACACCTTTTAGTCGATGTATATAGTCAGCAAATAAAATATTATCTGTCAGTTGCCTTTTAGTCGATGTATATAGTCAGCAAATAAAATATTATCTGTCAGTTGCCTGACAGATAAATACTGCTTTGTAAAATAATAAAAATCAGTTCGATCATTAAATGTTCATATAATGATCGAAGCAAATTCGATCTTCTAAAAGGATTTTGGCAGATACCATTAAGCGACAGAGCAAAAGAAATATCTGCATTCGTTACACCCAAGGGACTTTTTCAGTATAAAGTCATGCCATTTGGTATGAAAAACTCTCCAGCGACATTCCAACGTTTGATTAATCACATCATAATGGACATCAAAGGATGTGAAGCGTATATTGATGATGTAATTATCTATAGTGATACATGGGAGAACATCTAAAAATAATGCGGCAGTTTTTCGAAGGTTATGTGAGGCTCGTCTCACCATCAATCTTGCGAAAAGGAATTTGGATGTGGTCATGTGACATATCTTGGACATGTAGTCGGACAAGGTCAAGTAAAACCAGTCAATGCTAAGGTCGAAGCGATCTCCAAATTTCCTCAGCCCACTTCAAAGAAACACTTAATGCGTTTTCTCGGTATGGCTGGATATTATCGAAAATTTTGCCCAAACTTTTCAACAATAACCGAACCGTTGACCAATTTGCTACGGAAAAATGTCAATTTTACTTGGACAACCTCATGCCAGAACGCTTTTGACCAGCTAAAAGCCCTATTACAACATTCCCCGGTTTTGTCCGCTCCAGATTTTCAACGCCCCTTCAAACTTGCTGTCGATGCAAGTGATGTTGCAGCAGGAGCAGTTTTGTTACAAGAAGACAAGGATGGTGTCGATCACCCGGTATGTTATTTTTCAAGAAAATTTAATACTCATCAACAAAATTACTCCACTATTGAAAAGGAATGTTTAGCTCTAATCTTGGCCCTACAACACTTTGATGTCTATGTTTCTTCATGTGGAAATCCTCTCGAAGTTTTTAGCGATCACAACCCTCTCGTTTTCATCAGTAAAATGAAGAACAAGAATCAACGTTTGCTCCGTTGGAGTCTATTATTATCCGAATTCAACCTTGTTATCAAACACATTAAAGGTAGAGACAACCTCATCGCTGATTGTCTCTCACGACCTTAGAACATTATTATCTTAAAGAAAGCTTTTCAATCTTTCTTTTTTCTTAAGGGGAAGGGTGTTACATGGTAATACATAATCATGTAAATGATACTTATTATTGGTATATACTTAAATATTATTAGTTAACTAATTAGTAAAATGCCTTACTCATACATGCATGTGTATGTTAACCACAATAACAGGAAAGCTTACGTACAGGACGTGGTCAACCTACTGACCACAAACAACTTACAGGATACATGGTTAATCAACTGACCACAATTTACGCACAAGCGTTTAATCGTACTTCATTGTGCAATCATATATAAGCCGAAAATCGAACGTTGTAGTGATGTTGGTGCTTAGTATAAGTCCACATCAGAAGAAAGCTCATGTAAAAGAAGACGAACTATTTAAGAAAAGAATCAAAGAATACAGATATATATCCTATCCATCAACGAAAGAGTCACTGAAAGTCTGAAAGCAGTTGTCTACATAAGTTTGAACATTTAAACATTTATGTTATAACGATTATATCAAAATTATTAGTATATTAAATAAATATTTTAAGAATTGACAACAACTTCTCCACAAGGTTTTACTCCTTTTGTTACGAGCAATTGAACCAAAAGCAGCCATTTTATTATTAGTCGGGACGTTCGTAACAGCTGATTCAAGTAGATTGAAATTACTTGGAAACGATACGAATACTTTTGTTAAATTATGATAAACCTATTTCTATGATGACATGCGTTGTTTGTTTTTTGAAAACAATGAATTATAAGACCGTAATGTCGAAAATTAAATAAAAACATTGAACTTTCTTCTGAACGTTATGTACTTTTACAAAGGAAACTTTCTTGTTGATATCCAGTGTATAAAGGCGTGTTGACAAATTTTCACGTATAGATTCTATTGTATAGTATATATATCTCAATATTGATAGATAGAGATCGAACTTGAATTGTGATCGACGTCTATTTATATGAAGGATGCATGCTGATGATATTTCAGAGTAAAAAAGGTATTTAGCTATAGTGTTACAAACGTTCGTAAACTTACCAATAGGCATGATAGAATCGTTAGAAAATCTACTCCCCCAACTAATTTATTGAAAATAAGTATTTGAAAATTGCGATTTTGCATTAAAACCTGCGTCAAAAACTGCATGTTCTATTTTCTTGTGTGGAATTTGTGTTGATTGAATAAACCTTTCTTTCAATGCTCGTCAAATGTCTTCAACCATGCCGAAAGAGATGCATAAGCATGTTGCATTTTCGTATAATTATATCTTTTTCCTAAGGAAGTGTTAATGCAAAATCAGCTCTTATCGTAATTGTACTGTTACGTTACATTATTGTAATTATTATTATATTATTTGTTATAATAGCAAGAAGTCCTTTAATTAATTCAGTCATCAAGCACGTAAACTTGTTGAATTGTTTTTTTATTCTTAAATTTCACTTCTGTTCCGTGATAAAACTTTTCGTTCTACGTTTCAAAATTATACTGTCCAGACTTTGATATCAAATACATTTTCCTCGCCATCTCTTGGTTACAAATAGCTGTGATGTATATTCAAATTCGGTTAAACCATGATTAAACCAATGGTTTTTTAAGATTAATGGTTTTTGAATGGTTAAACCAATGATTTTTTAAGATCTGGAGCGAACAAGCGGTCAGGTATACTTGCTTTTAAGAACATACCGGTTTATTACTGTTCAAATATATAGTTCATAATATTTCCATCATTTACTCTCTTGATTTCTATTAAGAACTAAAAGATGTTTACTGTGTTTACGCAGGCATATGGAAACCGAGGAGACTTGGGAGAACTCGAGAGCAGATCAGTGCAAGCCGTTGGTTGCACCTGCTCGAGAGTTCCCACAAACGTCTCCGAGGTTTGCACAAGCAAGTGTGAACATGAAAAACATCTTTATTTCTTTTATAAAATAAAAATAATGCGAAAAAGACAAACATTTTAATTTTTCCTCTGAAATGTATTCATGATCGATTTGCAAATTTTCTTTGACTGGTTGATTGTTTTCATGGATTTGATTGGTTGAGCTCAGATGTGTTTTGCACGGGCTAATGCAAACACGGCTCTAGACCAATCAGCGCACGCGTTTTCTTGTTTTTATTTTATAAATACTGTTTTCACACGAAAGATAATCAGTGAAAACTACGATACAAAAACATTTTCGAAAAGGAGGAAATGCTTAAGTGTTTTATAGAATTAAATTTTTTAGACACATCACTGTAACAATTTGAATGTTAACACCAAAAAAATATGATATAAAGATTGGTCTGAGATAAACTAATTTACTTAGGTCGAAACAACCAATGTGGCAATACCAGTAGAAATTAATTGGTACACAATACTTTTTGCAAACATTTCCTGCAAATTCATTTTGTTTATTATAACCAAATTGTTCATCATGAGTAAATTCAATTAATTATGTAAACTCAACCGTTCGTAGTCTTGACGATTTTGCAATTCAAAACCATTTTGGTACTCTGTCATTACGATAATTTTGACTGTTTTAAGTGTTTTTAACATTTTTAGACTTAAAAAATCACACTTACCAATCGCCAAAACTTAGATTTTCTCGCACAAAAAACAAATCATTGTGTATATCATTGCGTTCTACACAACTGATATTGTTTATTAACACTACATTTGTTTTAAACACATTTCTTTAAAAAAAAGAAACTTTGTTCGATTGTTAGATGTGATAATGTTCACGAAATGAAATATTGTCGCTTCTCGCAGATAAGATATTTGCTTCTTTTGTTGAGGTTCATTTTAACGATAAACCCATACCTCAAGTTTTTGATGAGGTCATACACAACTTTCTCGGCAACATTAGACTAACAAAGTCACGGTCTTGAATAGTAGCTACATACTGTACTGTGGTCACGCTCTTATAATTTATATAGATGTTTACTTCACACCGCTGGTGGACGATAATTCATCGTCAAGAAAACACTTTCTTTTTTTTGTGTTGAGATTTGCCTACCTTTTTAAATTATGGCTAATAGCTTGAAGACCATACATACGTGTAACTCACGCGAGATAGCAAGCGTGACAAAAATTGCATATAAATCAAGAAATATATTTACCAGTGTTGCCACGCCTTGGGATTTCTCCCTAGATCTTGGGATTTTCTGCTCAAGCTTGGGATCTTGGGAGTTTTTTTCGAAATATTGTAAAATCTTGGGATATTTTGTTTAAATATTTTATAGGTAATATTATCTCGTATTATGAATTTATAAATAAGTGTGACACGTGTTTATAAATAAGCTTGACAACCTTCACACCCTCCCACTGAAGATGCCGTCTGAATCTGATGTTTATTTGAACATAATATAAGTTCTTTTACCGTGGATATTCTTTAAATTAATGTACGTGTATTCCATAAAACGCTGAAGCATTTCTTTGGATCGAAAATATTATTAATTGTTATTGCATTTCTTGGTTGTCTTTACTATTGAACAGTAGAAATCAGGAGGGAGTGAATATTGAAAATAATTTTTAAAGTGGAAGTTTGACAACTATATTTCATCATTTCAACACTTATATACATAAACTATCGATTTTTATGAAATTAAAATTAAAACAAAAATCAATTCATTCCAGTCCTTACATTAGCGTTCATTAGTGCGGCTAATCGTGTACCCATGACAAAGGGGTCCCCCAGAAATGACTGTGGGGGATCTTGGGATATTTTAAAGGATCTTGGGACTTTTTGCTCAAAATCTTGGGAATTTGTAAAATAGTGAGTGGCAACACTGATATTTACTACATAAATCGATTGCATAAAAAGCCCAAACAGATTCTGGGCCGCCTATGGCAGTATATTATTAAACTGGATAGTTAATCATAATCGTAAACTTGGACTTTGTTGTCATTGTCATTGCTTTCGATCGGTTACCTGCTTTTCTTACGGCTCTGGTATACCGGCCACATCAATGGTTGGATGCATTTTCGTCAATATTCTTATCAGTTTCACTAGCACACTCAAATTAAGGTCGAAACAAGAATCCTCAAAATATGGAAAAAAGCCTGCGAGGTAGAGAAAGCCCCAAAGCCTGTCAATGTTTACCCACTAAATTAAATTTATCTATTTCTCGCGTCCTTGCCACTCATTTTCTTCGTTAGGAAACAAATCAATAGATATTCCTTTATTTTTTGTGTGACTGGCGCAACCAACTTGATTAGGTTGGCCCAGCAACACAACGTTTCCATCGCGTTTTTGTATAGATTACTAGTAAAATATGCCATGTTGATTGGATGTGTTCAACCATCTACGTCACAACTCCTTATCATACGATCAAAAAGTTCGCAAAAATATGGCTGAAAATGGCAACTGTGAACGTTCATAAAATAATTTATGGAAATCAGATGCTGACATTCAAATTATAATTGCAGAAATGGAATCCCCAAATGCTATTCTTTTAATTTAGCTACTAAAAAATGGGGGGAGGGGCTAAAATTGGTAATATAGACACTTTAACATAACATTTTTTGCTAATGTATAATAGCGAATAAAAGAAATGATTCTTATAAATCAAATAATAATTGTTCTTGTTTTTCTTCAGTCAATTTTCTCGATCATTGAAAAAGCCTCAAACCATATCTGCGTTAGATAAGCTTTGAAATAGCTTAAAACTTATTTTGCCCATATTCGTGTTTTATCCTTTCGTGTATGCGGATCACTCATCACTGACGGATAAGCCTTGACGTGCACATCATCTAGATCATCTGCTGGTTCACAAATGTCATTCGTCCGTCCGTATCTGCGTTTTACCCCAATAGCGTGCATCTACAGTTAGCGATACTTAAGAATTAATTACTATGTTCATCTGACCTTTGTGTTACAGTGTTAAATAGATAAAGGCAGTTACAAGATAACATAGTGAGAATTTTTCTAAGTTCCATCCCAAACATGAAATATGGGTAATGTATTGTGGTAATAAACTTTTCGAATGAGCCCCATTTATGGTAAAGTTTTAAGCAAGGTCAATAGGGTCAAATAAGTTTTCTGTTAAATGTCATAACCGGCAAACAGCATGGTATCATAAAATATCATATAAAATATCATATAAAATTATTAATAATAAATATGATTATCATGGTATATGGTTATTGATTATTCATGTATGTGACATAACTGAAATCTGCAGCAAAGTCGAGAAATTTATTTTTATTAAACTTGTGTTGAGTGAATTTTCGTGATTGAGATGCGTGGTATCAAACAGCAATGCTTCCATCTCCATAATGTAGTCCAATATGAAAGAATCCAAATCAAGTTGAATATCTTAATCTGGAGGACATCGTGCGAGGGAAATTAAAAATGAAATGAATAATTAATAAATGATCACATCATGCATTTTATTATAGAATTTACACTATATTTCTTAAGCGTTGAAATGCACCGTGCTCTTAAGAACACGTCACGTCCGGTAAACTAGTACCTTACGAAAAAAGCCAAACTTGAGGAGCAAAATATCAAGGAAGATCAAATTTCGTCCTATTAACTATTAAATAAATTTCTAATATTCTTAAAAGTATTCATTCTATCTAAATACATATTTCCCTGAGGGTGATATTGGGCTCTTAATCGCGTCTAGACTTTTAGTTGCTCTTGGGTCATCACAATCCCTGTTCTGCCCGGTCCAGTTTGGTCACTTCTTCCAAAAAATTAATTTTCACCAATTGTTTGCGTTCACTTTAGAACATCCGGTAAAATGTATCTTGAACACGTTGTATGATACATATTGGCAAATTGTACCACAAATGAATAACTTTAAATCGGTAACATTGCCCGCTGTTGTTGTTGTGTTGACATCACATATCACAATCCACAAAAGTGTCTTTATCATCCTCTGGAAAGAATCTAAATAACAGGTTGTGTCATTTCTTCACGGTTATGTTTGAGAGGTCTAGTCATAGATATTGATAAATTTGTTTGTAAGCCAACGTGGGAAACCATTACATGTTGAAAATCTTTTCATAAAATTAATTTCAGACATAAGATTAAATAATGTTTACTTTATACAGAGTTTCTATTGTCTTGTGTTTTAACTTGAATCGGATTCCTTTGATGTGTTATATTCTTTCAATGCGTAGTCAGACTAATGAATATAAACAGGACCGAAACTTCTGAGGGAGGTAGGTGTGTGTGTGTGAGAGACAACCCCCAATTCGTTCAATCTTTGGTCTAGTCGGGCAAGTTACAGCAATTTGCCGGGAAATTTTTGAAAAATTGATAAAAATACAATATGATATAATACACAACAGAAAACACAAGGCAATATTATAAAGATATAATTTTCATAATTACACAGCTCCACAATTTTAAAAAGCAAATTGGGTAGGGTTTTGTACTCGTATATATCGTAAAAATCTGGAGACGTTTCAACATGA